CAAAATAGAAGTACATGATAATCATATAATCTTAAGGTAGAGAGTAATGTAAAGGTGACTTTTGAATCTTATTTGAAACCCAAGAGATATCCATCCCTTCTGAATTGATTCAAAGCCAGTTCTGATGTTTGAATTATCTAATATAATACAAGAAAATTTGTTTTACGTTTCCTTTTCATAGCTAATTTATTTACTTTTCCCCCTTCTCTTTACCTCACAGCATTGACAAAATCTCTAAGATAACCTCCCCAGTATTAATAATTCATGGGACTGAAGATGAAGTCATTGACTTTTCACATGGCCTCGCATTGTTTGAGCGTTGCCAAAGACCTGTGGAGCCTCTGTGGGTTGAAGGGGCAGGTCACAATGATGTGGAACTTTATGGACAGTACCTTGAAAGATTGAAACAGTTTGTGTCACAGGAACTGGTAAATTTGTAAAGTATTCTGTAAATTTACATACTGAGTTTTCTTTTCTTGCTGAACTGCACTCTTCGGTAAATAACATAAAACCTGAAGGTTTTGTTTGCAAATCATGTCAGTTGCCTTCATAAATGTACAGGTAATGATTTGTTAACAGACTTAATGAAGGTTTTAATTACCAAACTAGAAACTGGAAAAAAACAGTATCATGCAGTCAGGCTATGTAATTTATATTTTTTCTGTGAATTTTTTTTTTAAACATCAAGATGAGTACTGTATGAAATTTTAATTCTATAAAATCAAATGCTGTAAAAGTATTGCCAAATGCTTTTGCATATCAGAAACAAATTTATAAATATTTTTAAAACATCTCAATGTACTAAATCTTATCCTGGTATACAAATGTAATATTCTTTCAATAAAAAGCTGTATATCTAGAACAGTTCAAGTACTCATAATAGAATAAACTATGAAATCATGCAAATTCACTAGAGATGACCTAAACCCTGTTGTACAGGGATAGAGATTTAAAAGGTTATTTTATTGTAAAATACATTGAATTTTCACTATTCTCTTATTATCATACATTTTCTCCTTTAAAAAAAATAATGTAAGTCTTAATTTTTATGCCGTCTATTAATTTACCAACTAGTTATCTTGTAAATGAGAAGTCATGATAGCACTGAATTTTAACTAGTTTTGGTTCACAAGTTTGGTACTGTAAGGCAACTACTTAAAATTTTCCTTTTAGTAATTTAAAACACATTTAGAGCTTCCAGAATGATTTTGTACACCATGTTGTTTTCAATTTGACTAATCTCATAGAAATGCAGTACTGTCCTTATTAGAAAACCTGAAAGTCCACTAGATGTCCTTTAAGACCACGGACAGACTGGCTATTTGGTCCCTTTCCACGTCGACTATTTTTAAGAATTGGACCTGTTGTTTTGGATTACTATCTGAGAATTTCATGAATTCACTCCTGGATGCAGGAGATAAAACATTTAATTCATAACTTTTATATTAACCAATGTAGTAAAAAATAAAGCTCACACGCAAAAACTAAGTTGCCTTTCCTTGAATGAATCCTGCCTGAATAAAACAATGAAAGAAAAATAAAAATAAAATTAACGGTATGTAGTCTAATTTGTAAATGAATGAATATTGAAATAATACACACTGTGGATATATTTTAAGGCCTTATGTAGTTTTAATTGTTCTGCTTGTTCTGTGGTTATGTCTAAGACTATAGTATATGATTCTCTTCAAAGTATATCAAGTATTGTGAATGCTTTGGTTCAGATGTGTCAAATTAACAGTAAAACAACAAATACACCACTCAGCTGTGCTTGTTTTCCTTCTTCTATGCTCCTCATTCCCTTCTAACTATCAGGACTGAAGAAAATTACCGTTCCTCTTTGTAGAATGTAGATCTGTGGTTTTCTAAACTTTATTATCACTTCTTTCTTTTAGAGAGGTTTTTCCTTCTCAAGATTGTCTGAAGCCTATACAATTCCTTCTTTACAACATACACCCCAGAATATAGCTAAGTGTTTTTTTTTAATCACCTAGAAAAACCAAAATACTGATCATACTAATTCATATTCACTCATTCATTCAACATATTTACTGAATGTCTAAATCATGCAGAACCTTTGCCACGTAAAGATAGACATCGACCACATCCTCAGCTACACTGAGAAGACATATCTCATTACTAATTGGATAAGACTAAAGGAGATTTGTCAGGTGTTATGAAAGATAAAAAAGTACTCTTGAGGGAACATGGGGAGAAAGGCAAAGAAGAGTCCCACAAAGAAGTGGTATTTGAACTGAATTTTGAAGGATGTCTAAGGAATGGCTAGACCCGGGTAGCCCAAGGGAAACATTCCTGGCTGAAGGGAACAGTATGTGGAAGCCTAGGGGAAGGATGGTGTATTTGAAATTAAGAAGACCTGTCAAAGGTCAAAGGGAAAGGATGGCATAGAGATGAGGCTGGCAAGCTACTTAGGGACCCAGTCACATGTGTTTCTATTCTAGAAATAATAGAAAGCCATTGATAAAAACATGAAATTGCATTTGTCAAGAGTCTGTAGGTGAAAAATATCTAGAGATTTTAACTTGCTAGAAATAACATGTAAGCCAACTGTTTACAAACTGAAGTAAGTTTCTTGTGCTGAAAAATTCATCATGGGGAAATAATCTCATATAAAAAGCGCTGGTCAAACCACATGTGCAATACGAATTTCAGGATGCAGTGAAAGGATAGTCATAAATTAGAGTAAATCCTGGGTTGTTTTACCAAGTTGGAGAGCATCCCATGAACTGAAACCCAGAGAATAACTGAAGGATCATGTGACTAAGGAATGATAGCTGGTCTCAAATATTTGATAGATAAATATTTGTAAATACTTGTACAATTTATCCTTTTTGACTCAGAGTACAACTAGGTGAAAGTTGCAAAATGGCAGATTAGAGCCCAGTGTAAGTATTTATGGTTCTTTGCCTGTCAAAGAAAGGGATCACCTAAGGATAAATGAGTATCTTATCAGTGAAGCAGAAGTTGAATTGAATGATAGCTGTCAGTGCTGCAGAAGAAATTCCAGATTGAAATGATAAGTTGAACTGATGGCCCCTGTGTGACGTCCCTTCAAGGTTTTGTATTCCATTTAGAGTTCTCCCTACTCAGAGCACTGCCTGCTCTGTGGAAGTAGGACAGTGTGATGTAGAATTGGCAGTCAGATCTGGGTGCTCTTCTCAACTGACACTAATTAGATCTGTGACTCTGGCAAGTCACTTCTCTGGACCACAGCTTCCTACAAAAATCAGGAGATGGAACAGATTTAATGTATTATGAAAATTTCTCAGCCCCACTCATGCAATGACTCATAGTAATTTTCAACCTTGACTAGGGCAGCCCCAAATAACACATTTTGATATGGCTTTTCTGCATATCAACATGGTGCAATTTGGATGATAACGTTAGTCCTGGGAAAATGGTCATTAACATACATAACTCCTACAATATCTTACAAGTACAAAAAGAATAAGAACTTAAATTAGTTTATCATTTTCACAGTTTACCAGATTTCTACCTTACTCAAATTTGCCAGTAATATATCCCACCTGAGCATATATTATACAGTTTTTTTTTGAGATTTCTATAAATATATGTTACTTTAAAAAAGCTTGATAGATGAGCTTTAAAAATTGTAAACTGACATCAGTTGTCATGTAAATGGGATGGCCTTGGTGCAAGTAGACATTCCATATGTCAAAAATTGAATGTCAAGAATGGGTATTATGGAAAGCCAGATAAATTCAAATCTTAAACACTTTAAATATAATAAAGCCTAATCCCTTCATTTTACAGGTGAGGGAGCCCAAAAGAGAATATACTTTGCCGAGGTCTGCAATCTAATTGTCAACCGTTGTACCATCTCTCATTATCTCTTCACCAAATTTATCTGGACTATTATACTAATGATCCTTCTGAACTACAATACAACGTAAACTTACTTGCTCTCCAGCGTTAATCATAACTTTTTTAAATGGCTCCTAGATTCCTTCTTATCAGCTAGTTATTCATTGAATAATAAACTAGTAAGTTGTACCTTTCACATTTCTCAGACTAATGATTTGTATAAAGTAAGACACTAACCCATTTTAAAAGACTCAGTAATAGCTGTTTGGTTTTATTAAAACCAAGTGACAATGTTAACTAGTCACATGAATAAGCAATCAAATATTTACTTAAGCAGCACATTTACTACAAGTTAATACCATGCCAGGAATAAACAACTACATTGAAAAAAAGCATCAAAACAGTGATGGATGGGCTTTAAGTTTGTTGCTTTGGTTCAAAACATGCATGCAGTATGTTCGAATACCATGATAGCATGTTGCATTCTAATAATGATGTACACCCCAAATGTCCAGTAACGAAAAAAGGAACTATGCATATGATACTTGGAATTATTTTCAGTTCTAATTTGCAAAATGGAGAGATGTGTTCATCTATAAATGGATTATGCCTCTGACTGAATAAGTTGATAAGTAATGCTATGAAGGAACCAAATACCTCTGGCCTGGAAATGACCCACTTGATGTTAGAGTCGTGGGGTAGAGGGGAAACAGGAAATAAAGCTTACAGTCTTTATAAATATATCAGTGAGTTAAAATCTGTTAAGCTGATTCTTACATTAGAAGGCAGATGGACCTGTAATTATTTTTCTCCCTCTTTATTTCCTCTTGTAGGCCAGGTACTGAACTTGCATAATATAAGATTTGTAAGAAAAAGTTTAAATAATATGCTTTAAGAAATGAGATCCTTATATTAGAAAAATAGGGGGTTTTAAATAATTTGTGATATTTTGTACCTGCTGATTCAATGCCAATTTCAACTATTGTACTACTTGATTAATTCAGAGTTGTTTTTTTCCCCCAAAATTACTGCTCAATGCAGTATATTGAGGTAAGATGGGTGGCAGGTAGGTTTATGAATATAGGGGCATCTGAATCAAAAATTGAATATGTACTGCTCTTTTCCAGATTACCTGCAAAGTATGGTGAATTCATAGACTGAATCAAAATTTCTAACTTCTAAAATTAGCATTTTACATTATGAATCTTAGATGGAAAAAAACTTGTTACTGAGATGAAACTTGAATTTGTATTTAAGCACTTAATTTCAAATTGTGTAAGTTCAGTTTTAAAACTTTGGTAAAGTAAGAGACTATCTGTATTACTTCACCAAAGTTTGAGATTTTTACTGTCTTTTTTTTCTAGCTCATTTGATCCTGAAAATCTTCTAAGTCCACCACTAGAAAATAGAATGGGCAAGTTGAAGAGAGACACGAATAGCTTATATGTTCCTGAACACTTCTGATGCTATCAGAAATGGTAATTAAACTTGCTGAAGTATCCAATGTAATGCCAACTGAAAAAAGAAGAATATAAATGGTTACATGTCCATAAAATGTAAATGCCCATATAATAAAACCAGAAGGAAATAAATACAATGAAAAAGGATCGCGTTGAGGAAATAGATTTATCGTGTTTTTCTTAGGTATCTTATGTTGCTATGTTATGATTAAAAAAGAAGAAGAAACTGGCTTTATTTTCACTAGCAGAAACTGGTTCTTTTTAAGTCTGGGTTTCTTAAATCACAGGATCCTAGTGCACAGCTCCACTTATGCAGATTTTTTTCAATAAATACACTGGAAAATTTTTTGGATATTTGTGATAATTTGAAAAAACTTAGACAAACCACATAGCCTAGAAACAATGGAAATATTAAGAAACATGTTATCAACATAAAAATATGTATATACTAGTCTATTTTATCTTACTATCAAAATATACACAAAGTTATTATAAAAAGTTTAAATTTATCAAACGTTATGCACACATGGTGCTATTCTCAGTGAGAGAAATGCAAATGAAGAAAGATGTAGTAACTGCATAAAATTAACTTTAGTACCCACTATACAGTAGTACAGTAATAATTCTGTAGCTACCTCCTGTTGCTATTGCAGTGAACTCAAGTGTTTTTGAGTATCCATCTACTTAAGACATCATATGAGCAGTTCATCTCTCCAGTAAATTGCATAGTGCAGGAAAAAGTGATCTCTTGTGGTTCTCACTTATTTTTCACCATGTTTAATGCAATACTGTAAACCTTGAATAACACAATGGGACCTATACAAAGTGCCACTAGTGATGCTGGACATGCTCCCAAGAAGCAGAGAAAAGTCATTGACATTACAGGAGAAAGTTGAGTTGCTTGATGTTTACCATATAGACCATGAATTGAGGTCTACAGTTGCAATTACCCACCGTTTCAAGACAAACGAATCCAGCATAAGGATCACTGTAAAAACAGAAAAGGAAATTCATGAAACTTGTTGCTACATACCAGCAGGTGTGAAAACCTTCCATTTTTTGCATAATACCTTTTTATCTCATATTGAAAATGCAGTTTTTATGTGGATGCAGGGTTGTTATAGGAAAGGCATACCTGTAGACTAATATGATTTGAGGGAAAAGCAAAATTATATGATAACCTAAAGCAAAAGGGAATTGAAGAATCTAAAGCTGGAGAAGTTAATGCCAGCAAAGGATGGTTTGATAATTTTAGAAAGAGGTTTGACTTTTAAAATGTCGAGATAACAGGAGAAGCAGCTCCTGCCAACCAAGAGGCAGCAGACAAGTTCCCAGATGCCATTAAGAAAATCATTGAGGGGAAAGGATATCTGCCTGAACAGATTTTTAATGCAGATAAAAGTGCCCTATTCTGTGGGAGAAAGATGCCACAAAAGGCATTTATTAGAAAGGAAGAAAAGCAAGTATCAGGATTTAAGTCAGGCAGGGATGGGATACTGCTTTGTGCAAATGCGGTTGGGTTTATGATCTGGACTACTCGTATCTATAAAACTGCTAACTCCCAAGCCTTGAACAGAAAAGATAAATACCAGCTGCTAGTCTTTTCGTTGTACAATATGAAGGCCTAAATAGTGAACCCTTCTGGACTGATTTTACTGATACTTTGT